GAGAGCTTTCTTTTAAGGATTTATAGTGATAGGGGCAAGACAATTGTTGTCAGTTTTCAGGCTAATGTAAGAACATGACTATTTTTCTCCTTAACTCAGAACAGGTTTATTCTCTGGTAACTGTTAACCTCGAGGTACTTTACCCTCACAGACACAGCCTGCTGTCTTGGCAGGTCTAAAAGCACTCACAAAGCCTTTGCACATTTCTCTGGATATCTGATGGGACACCTCCATCTAACTGCATGACTAAAACATAGACCAAAAGAGGGGGGAAAAAAAAAATAGTGCTTCCACCAGCCAGGAAAGCACACAGCGCAGCAAACAAGCAGCACGTTTTGAGCTGCACGGCTGCATCTACCCACCAGGCAAGTTCGGCAATACGAGGGTACAAACACTGAGCTTCCACCACCTGTACTGGTGCGTTAGACGAGTTCCTGGCTCACTTCTCACCCAAGCCAATCAGTATTCCTCCCTACAGTTTCTGGGCATGGTTTAGAGGCTGTTCCTAATAAGCACCGTGAAGATGGCAACTCGGGCTGAAAGACAGGGCTTAACAACATGGATGGCAGTGGGTCTCACTGCCAGAGAGCAGTCCCAAGCACAGAAGAGTTACACCAAGTACTAAGTAGGTCCCAAGAGTTTAACACTGATGAGTTGCAGTATTACTTACCCTGGGGTGACCAAATTCACACCTCCACTCCAGAGAGAGAGATGAGACAACTATTTAAACAGCTATACAGAGCAAGAACACTTTAAACTACTCTGCATTATCACCCCGTTAAAGACAACCACTGTGACAGTGAGGACAGAAATCAAAAGCTAAAAGGAAAAACCTGGAGTCTGCAGAGGAAAGCACCAAGTCTGACTTCCAGGAAAACATAACACACAGTTCTAGAAGGTGGGATCAGAAACCCAAGTCTGTTCAAAAAAATAACATTAATTGTACCTACAACTTAGTGCCATCACCATTCTGCCCAGGATCCCCAAAAGAACCTGCCTGTCCCCGTAGCATTGAGTGACAGTGACCAATATGATGCAAGGCCAACAGGCCTGGCCGACCCACTCAAGGGAGAAAAACGAACTGTCAGGAACAGATGCTCAGATCAAAGTCTCTGGCTGAAGACATAGCAGTTGGGTAAACAGAAATAGCGTGTTTCTTTACAGTTCATTCTTAAATCACAACGTGCAGGTTGTTATGAGAATACATCCCTCACTGAGAAAAACGGTTATCCATCCTAATAAAAATGTATTAGTCTCCCAGGAATTGGACTTGCCTGAAGATGTATTTCCTGACTGACAGCAAAGTATTTTTTCACTAAAATGAATTTCAAAGGAAAAAAAACAGGCGTATTTTCTCTACCTTAACAGCTGACCAAAACCGTCTTTCTTGAAATCTGGAACATAGTGATGATTTGTCTTCCACAGCGCTGGTCACAGAAAAAAGAAAAAAAAAAGGTAAAATAAGGATTTTTTTTTTGTTTGCTTTTAAAAGAAGATAAACAGACAATTGATCTCTTCGATACTGATACATGTTAATTCTGGCATTTTCTTGGCAGCGACAGCCACAATCAGAATAAAGGTCTAGGGAAACAGCTGTCAGCTTGAACCTGTCAGCTTGAACCCATGATGATACATGTAGTGTGAAAAAAGGTCCAATAAAATTAGTAACTGGGAACACCTGGGGGTCCACATAACCCAGATTCAGATCAAAACAGCATTGCCTAGAACCAAACATCCTACACCAGCTTTAGCAAAGCTTCTCTCCTATCTTAACCCCACATCTCCCAGAATCCTACTCATTCCCATCTTTGACAGGAGGAATCGGGGGACACACACACGCGACACCAGACCACCTAAACTAACAGAGGCCATCAGATGTAAGTTGCTATGCTAAAACCAGACTGTGGACCTCGTACACTGGAAAGCTTTTGGTTACAGGAGCAAAGAAACATTAAGTTCCCATTATTAGAAAGAGTTCATAAACAGGAATAAGGCTTCATAACCCTTCCTACAGTAAAAGGCATGTTTATTCCATTAGCTGTCAATGGATATGTAAAATATTTCATGCACATCTGTGGGGAAGAAGGGTACAGAAATTTTAAAAAAGGTTTAAAAAAGCCCCAGAGTCAGCTTACCTTTTAGGATACAGAGGAATAAAGACATCTTCCTCTATAGATTTCTTCATTCTTAGGACAACCACATTCATCAAATCCTATTTAAAAAATAATCATTAATGTGTCCTCACAGGAAAGCCTTCATCTTCCATTTATAACAACTTCAATGGTTATTTTGTTCATCTATAAGTACAATATGCCAGTTAGAGCTAAGTACAGTTGCCACTTGTATGTAACACACACTGAGACCATTAATATATTAAAAACAGCAGACAAATCACAGCTGTAATTATCTATAGGGTTAACCTAAAGGATTTTTTTTTTTTGTAAATGAAGTTATTTCCCTAACTGAGGCCTTTTTTTTGTATGTTAACTTGCAAGGCAGCAGGAAAACTGTAGTTAATCTAAGTTGCGCACATAGGATCTCCAAAACACTTGTGAAAAATCTACGTTAAAAAAAAAATCACCATAGCTAGGATGGTATAGGTTTTTAGGCAACACGCTTTTAGGTGCCATAAATTGCCATCTATCTTTTTTTTAAAAGCCTATTTATTTATTTGAAGTTCTGGTTTACTTTCTGTAGAAACAGTGTCTTGACTAAGGTCAGTTATACAACCTGACTTCAAGGCATGGTTTCAAATCAGCAACCTTTGGAAGGCATAAACATTTTTCCTACTGAGGGCTTAAACATCCATCCCCATTTCACCAGTTTTATACTAGATAAGCCTCCAGATTTACATCAGAATAAAACCAGAATCAGGCTGAAGGGCATGCTAGGGTGACTGTGTATAAAAGTAATTATTAGAAGATTGCTAAAATTATGAAGTAGCCTTTCTCCTGGCCAACTAATTAACCGTTGGGGTTCAAGTTTTAAAATTCTACATCTACTTTATAAATAAAAGCTGAAGGAGTTGACCACTGGAGCATTACTAGCATTTAAAGATCTAATCTGGAAAGATAATTAAACGCAAATCTAAATTCTAACCACTGTTACTGCAGTGAAACAAGATTAGATCCACAGACAGATTCTTGACAGGTACAGGCAGAATATTTATAGGAACAGGAGCCAATTTCTGCACCAAGAGTGTCCCATCTCCCATCATCCTCACTAAAGAGAGCATCAGAGAGGCGGAAGTTTGTTAAATCTTCTCAATATAAAGTGACAAAACAAACAAGTCAGAGCTGAACAGCTTCAGGACAACATTCTAAACGCCCACAGGAGCACGCACAGAAGCGCACACTGCGGATGAGGCTCTCCCTTCCCCAGTACCACAGGAGCTTTTACCTCTTTCGCTCGACTGCATTCGTTTTTGGAAAGGCCTTGTTTTTCAAAGATGTTACTGCAAAGCCGTACAAGGTTCTTTGTCTGTGAAGCGGATAAAGGATCCCACACACTCTTTACAAATGCTGGGGAAAAAAAGGAATTTCATTCACGATATGCCAGGGGTTATCTGCTCTCGTTTCAAGGCATTACAACGTAACAGCAGTAAACACATAAAAAGCAAAGCCTCTCACAATAACGTTAAGACAAGGCTACCTACCTTAGCCTCTCTCTGTGGAACGACATAATCACTACATCTTGGAGCACCATTATAACACTAACATTATTTGATACCTGTCACTTATTTAAGGTTTGATTGCCTAACTGCAGTGAACATTTTCAAGACAATCTTACCATACCTGTAATTTTTGGAAGAACAGTTTTTTCAATAACTCTACACAAAACTTCTCGATCAGAATCATCATCCCTTTTTGATTCAGATACATTTTTGGCATCACTGAATTCTTCTATAGCTCTGAACCAGGGCATCTCTTCCAACTCTGTAAAATTCTGAAAGATCACTCCTGTTAGTTGTTCAGCTCGTCAGGATTAAACAAAAAGCTCCATCCAATGATACTGCAGATTCCCACTTAGTTTCAGATCCCCCCTGAACAAGCCAAAACAGCGAAACAGGAAAATTAGATTTAAAGGTAGCATTTAAAGGATTGGATTGTTAAAGTGTCTTCAAAGAACTTGGGAGAAGAATTCTTTTTACAGGGGTGTTGCAAAAGGGGCTGGAGATAAGGGGAAAGGAGAAAGTCAAGAAGATTCCAACCACACACTTCAATTTCTGAGACCAAAACACAGTATCTTTCTAATAATTTCTAATGCACTGTGCTATGTATAGAAAACACATCTCATTTTTCATATTAATACGTAACACACCACCACACATACAATTCTGGAAGAAAACAAAGTCAGCTGATGCACCTACCTCAAGAGGGTTCCAATTTATTAACTCAACTCTGATAAATGGATTTAATAGCTTAGGCAGGCAGAAACTGATATAAGCATCACAGTAAGACTCAGGAAACTTCTCTTTCCATTCCTGGAATTTCAACAGGATTTTTCTGATGTCACAAAAATCTGCATGTACATCTTCAAAGACTTTCCTACTATCCTCTAAAACGTTATCTATGAATAATATTAATTGGGAATAAAAAGAAACAATCACAGAACTTATTGAGGCATAAGCTGAAGAGTTTATGCATCTATAGGACATAAGAAGTAGCTGTATGATAACTGCATTTGTCATTTATCTTTGACACACCTGACACCAAAACCAATTTTAGAAATGGCTCCCTGGAAAACCCAGTTTCACAAAAAAAAACCCACCATCATAAGACCAAAAAAAGGCAAGTTTTTTCATGAGCTGTTCCACAGATGTATACATACACTACATTTCAAACTTCATATCATGGAGATAAAATTTCAGACACAAAAACCCTTCTACTGTTATCTGGAGAAAAGGTATTGTCCCTTTCCCTGCTCCTCTTCATCCATTCACTCAAGATAATTAAAACACCAACCTTCAACTTACTCTGTCTTCAGAAAACACGTCGTAGCACTGCATTGAATACTGTCAGATCAGCTTTGGCACAATCTAAAACAGCTTACTTCTAGTTGAAACAGCGATGTGTAATGCCACCACCACGTAACTCATACCAAAAGAAATCTACAACCATTCACCTATTCTTCCCAAGTCATTTGTCAGAACTGTCTGAACGCATTTCTTTTCTACAGTGTGTAACTATGTAACTCAAATGAAGTGTTTCTTTACCTTTCCTAAAAAAAAGTCTTTAAAAAATATCAGGAAGAGGCTTTGTTCTAGGACATCACATTAAGACTGTCACCAACCTTTGCTCTTCTGGAACTCATTCACCTCTGTTGGAGTCAGCTCCTCGTCACTCGACATGCCTTCATGGTGATCAGCTTCTCCTGAACACTCCCTCACTTGCCGTCTGCAAGCCCTGTATTTTACATGGAACTCAGGTAAGTTGCCCTCTCCCATGTACGCAGAAGGAAGCTTAACGAAAAATAATTCAACTTAAAGCAAGTTGTGAGAGCAACAGCCTAAGGAAATGCAATGAGGGAACAACAGTAAGTATGTAACCACAGAGACACAAGCTGTGGAAGGAGGGGATTTGGGAACTGACATAAGACAGGTCAGAGCAACATCTCTGATCTCCCCTATGAACCACATAATAACCTTCACTTCACCACATTCCCACTGATGAGGCTAACACTTCATTCCACCGGGAGCACTGAACACCAGGCACGGTACTGGACACTACCTGGCAGTTTCAGTGTCTAGCAAACTACCAAGCTCTCAGTTCTGGATTACTTGTACAACCACCCACAGAAAAATCGCGAGAGCACTCAAGTGCCAGTTGGGCTCAAAAAACTATTGCCACCACACCAAGAATCATAACAGGCTGTAAAACCAATAGCTTGCATCTCTGCCACAGCAAAGTGATATACGATATGAAAGTGATATTGCATAAATACTTTTACGCAGTTATTTACATTGATCAGCATTAAAGGGTAACTGCTTCAAGTGTAAGTTCTTATTACACCAGTTTTCATCCATTAAAATTCCAAGGTTCTTGCTACTTCCATGTATAGTTATGAGTTATAGAATCATAGAACGGTTTGGGTTGGAAGAGACCTTAAAGTCCCCATCTAGTTCCAGCCCCGCTGCCATGGGCAGGGACACCTTCCACTACACTGGGTTGCTCAAAGCCGCATCCAACCTGGCCTTGAACACTGCCAGGGAGGAGCTGAGGCACCACAGCAACAGCAAAACTTTCAAAGCTCCCAGTAACAAAAAAATAAAATTGGTACCAATCTCTGAACAACGTAATATCCAAAATGTAGTATCTGACCTACATTGGTAGCAGAGTAGGGGCCACATGTTGCTTTGCCTCACTGCCCACCACCCCCCCAGCAGCAATGATACCACCTATTTTTGCTATTTATACAATACCAAAACATGTTTCTGTATAAGGTCATAGTATTCTTCAGTAAAACAGGAGGGAAAAAGCTCCCCTTGTATAGTTTTGCCTCAATGAAGACTTGTTAATGTAAAATAACAACATCTATCAGCATTCAGATTCAATCAACATGAAGAGAAGGACATTAACAAATCGAGGGCTTCCAAGTATCTCAAGTTTTGGAAAGAAAATACATATTTTTTGTGTAATCTCATCTAATAATCCTATAGGTTTACATTCATCACTGCATAAGTGACAGGAAGTCAGTACACAGTATGTTCATCAGTTAAGTGCACCTCTACCTTCGATGTTCGCACATTTCCAGAAGCTGTGTCTTCTCATCACCTTCCAATCCACCATTTGTTGGTTTGTCATTCCCACCTATCAAAAGACAGAAACAGACAAAACTAAAGTGCTATGATTTCAAAGTTCCTATTTTTTCAAACAGGAAACACAGATTCTCTTTCTACTGTTCTTCGTTTCAAAAAATAGCCAAAGAAAAATCAAACCTCCTAATCAAACCTCTTAGCACAGATTTTTTTCTACTGTTCTTTGTTTCAAAAAATAGCCAAAAAAAATCAAACCTCCTAATCAAACCTCTTAGCAGTCTCCAGAGTAACGCACAGTAAGTATTACTTGTTAACTGCTTATAGCCAGACCTGGCTGCTCCCTTACAGCAGGCAATGAAAAGGTGAGTTTGACGACATTCCAGTCAACACATACTCTTTCCTAATCCTGGGAAAGGAACTTAGTGCCTTCCATAACGGGTCCTTAGCAGTGTGAAAGGCAAGCATAGGGACCTACCTTCATCCTCTACATCAAAAATGAAACCATGAAATAAGTTAGAGTAACTTCTGAGGTTCGGTTCCAACATAATGGAAGTTAAATCCCTGATTTACACTATTCAAAACCATTGCATTTAGACTTCAAGACTAGTCAGCTCCCCACTGCCTCCCGTTATGTGAGTGGTCACTGACTGTGCGACCCCAGTTACCCCTACTCTGATTCTCGAGTCCCACATAGAAGAAACTAGAAGCATTTTCTAGTTGGGCCGTTCACTTGCAGCACTATTAGCTGGCTGATATGTGCACAACATGCCAAGAAAAGTGCACTGCTACTGAAGCACTATCACGTAAGAAAACACAGCCTTTCCGCTATATTAAATACAACCAGGAACATAAAAAACTATTAAAAGTGCTGTTAAACACGCAAGTACAGTCTCAGTTGTAATGAGCTAGAAGTAAAATCATTTTAATGGCAACAATTATTATGGCACCACCCTTCTTAACACCTGCTGTCAGTCTGTTACACCGTTTTAAGGAATCACACAGGCTGTGAGCTTTCTCTAATCAGCAGTTTATCCTGTGTAGTGAGAAGACTGAACCCATATGATTAGTGGTTAACAGAAACCGGTGCATCTGGCCTCCATCTGTTCCCAGCAGCTCCAAGTGTATTGCTCTTAGCTTTGCCTAAACAGTTTTAAAGGTTTGGCTTTGGAGGTTGGGCTTGTTTTAAACGGCAGCAGCTAAAGATTCACACAGCATACAAACACCACGTTGGTGTGGAAAGGAAATATGAGATGAGGAAGTTGTAATGTTTTTCCTACAGTGACCAAAAAAAACTTAAAACAAAACTCAAGAAACACAACAACCCTTACACAAAGAGGCTTCTTGGTTGATGAGAAGCTGAACATGACAGGGCAATGTGCATTTCCAGCCCACAAAGCCAATGGCATCCTGGGCTGCATCAAAAGAAGTGTGGGCAGCAGGTCGAGGGAGGGGATTCTGCCCCTCTGCTCTTCTGAAACCCCACCTGCAGTGCTGCTGCGTTCAGCTGTGGGGCACCCAGCATAAGGAGGACACAGACCTGCTCAAGTGGGTCCAGAGGAGGGTCACAAAGATGCTCAGGGGGCTGGAGCACCTCCCCTATGAGGCACAGGCTGAGAGAGTTGGGGTTGTTCCGCCTGGAGAAGAGAAGGCTCTGGGCAGACCTTATAGCGGCCTTCCAGTACTGAAAGGGGGCTACAGGAAAGGTGGGGAGGGACTCTTGATCGGGGAGTGCAGTGATAGGATGAGGGGTAATGGTTGCAAACTGAAAGTGGGGAGATTTAGATTAGATATTAGGAAGAAATTCTTTACTGTGAGGATGATGAGACACTGGCACAGGTTGCCCAGAGAGGTTGTGGCTGCCCCCTCCCTGGCAGTGCTCCAGGCCAGGTTGGGCCGGGGAGCAACCTGTTCTGGGGGGAGGTGTCCCTGCCCAGGGCAGGGGGTTGGAACTAGATGGTCTTCAAGGTCCCTTCCAACCCAAGTAAACACACTGCTTTTTCATATATTCATAGAATCCTACAGCAGCAAGCTTTCTCCAACTTAAGACCTACTAGAAAACTGGCTGGTTTTATTTTTAAATATTGATGGGAAATTGCTGACTGAAATAACTCAAAACTGACAAAGCATTTGGTGGTGTCACATTCACTATTAAACCAGAGAAAAGTAACATAATACACCTTACTGAGCTTAGGATTCCAACTGAGCTATAGTAGGACATGGCTACTGACAAAAGCAGAAAGGAGATCAAAGGTGAGAGAATAAAATACTTCACCCAAAAAAAGTAATTGCATATCTCTGCTTAAAGAGTGAATGTTTTGATAAGAAAATAACTTTTAACTTTGTACTGACTTGTAAGATGGCGAATATAAGCAGACTCGTTTTTCAGCTCTTCTTGCCTTCGTTTTGCTATGGTCACGGCTCGTTGCTGAAGTAGTACATGTACAGACAATTCCAGCTCATTAATGCATTTCAGCTGAAATACAGTAAACAGCAATCAGGTTTTCAGTCAAACAAAATGCAAAAAGAATGAACAAACCCCAGTTTTCAGTACTTTACTACAACAAAAGTACTACAGATTGAAAAGTAGGTTGGGAGTCATTGGAGTCTTTCAGACTGTTTGGTTAGACTGAAAAACACAAACTAAATGCCAGCTGCATATCACGGGCCTACCCAAGACTTCACTCAAAAGGGTTCAACAGGACACTACTGGTGGACTTAGCTAGCTTTCAGTTTGCTTTTGAGCCACTAGCCATTAAAGAAAATGTATTCATTAACCCTCCTTAAAGTTGCATAAAGAGGGGTAATGGGTACAAGTTACACCTGGGGAGATTCCAATTGGAAACAAGAGGAAGATTTTTCACAATGAGAACAATCAGTCATTGGAATAATGTCCCCAAGAAATAGTGGATTTTAAGATCCAGCTGGACAGGGTGCTGGGCCATCTTGTCTAGACGGTGCTTTTGCCAAGAAAGGCTGGACCAGATGATCCTTGAGGTCCCTTCCAACCTGGTATTCTGTGATTCCTCGAACTGCAATGCAATCGAGTGACATAAATTTGATTTCATAGCACTATCTATAGAGGATAACAGCAGTTTACTTTCACTGAGGCCAAATCTTAGGCAGCTCCTTCCCTTTTTTAAATACACCACATTTGCAGTTCACAAAACAGATGCAGCCAGTAACATAGACAAGCTCTCACTCAGCTCTGCTAACTCACTCTCAACTCAAACCTAACATGAAATCCTTACTACCTCTGTTATTAACCCTGAGTAAAGACTTTCAGTGAGATCCCAAAAGTGAATTTAAGTGCCACCTCTCATTCAACCTCAGTGCACTCTAGTTCCTAGACCTGCAGAAAACTCCCTCTAGTAACATTTTGTTTTCATCCAACAGAACCCAGCGAGACCATAGCTTAAGTCAGTACACCTATACCAGCCTGATTATCACTTTAGGTCAGAGTGAGGTTTGATTAGTTTTCCCTCTATTTTGTTTCTTGTTACATTAAAATTTCTGATAGAATTGATTTTTAACTGAGTAATTTCCACCATCATTTCCAAACAAAAACACCCTCATCAGTCATTGACAGAATGCACCTTTAGAATCTTAAAAAAAAGGAAGGTATACATACTTTTTCATTCAAACAGTTTACCAAGTTTTCTACATATGTTTTCATGGCTCTGTAGAATTTGTAATTCAGAGCTGCATCCGAAGACTTCTCTAACTCCTGGACAGCCATTTTTGACCTTTCAATGTCCTCCATATATTTTTCATACTCCCTCTGGTGGGCACGGTGTACATCCTGTAACGATGTTATCCTAAAAAGACAGAAACCCAGACAACTAAGCCTATTGCCAAATTAGCAGTTGATACATTCCAAAACAGTTTTTCCCCATTATAATCACATATAAAATCTTTGCCTGTGCTAATAACAGCTAAAGTGTATTTGAGCTAATAAGTGTTAAAACATTTATCCATGCCAGTATTTGCATAAATACACAGTATGCTTTGGAGACTCAGATGTCACTTGCACGGTGCTACTTTTGAAAGCACCACTGACATTTTACCTAGATCTGTCAATAAATCGTGCTTCGCAAAACCAACAAAAGCCAAATTTTGTGCTATCACATTAAATGGATTCCACTCAACATAACCTGGATAAACATAGAGCTCATGCCAGTACAACCATACTAGTTTAATTTAAGTTGCACAGACAGGAGCACCTATAAGCATTCACCACGTGCTCACTAAACACAAACCAATTGAGGACTCTTGCTGCCAGTAGGGGGTGAAGCCCAGGAACCTACATCTACAGCTGTCACTAACTATTAAGTAGGTAGCACAGGAACATTTACATACATTACAACTCTGCTTGCTCTTCCCGCCCCCCCCTTTCCCTGCTTACATATCCCAAGTAATTGCTCAGCCTGTAACAGAACGAAGAAATAGACTTAATTTACTTCCCTGAAGTAGCAAACATTTCTCAATGAAATTAAATGAATGAAGCTATTGTTCTCTACAAAGTTTACACCAAACAGGTTCCTCCTCCCCCTTTTGCTATTTTCCAGATAGGTTTCCCACTCTTGATAGCTTTATTCTCATTTTTCTTCTTCGATCCTGTACATAAATTCCTACTTCATTTAACTCATTCCTCTCAGGCAATTATGGCAAAGCAAGCACACAATTCCACAAAAATATTTAATCCAATTTGGTGGCAATTCTTCAAACAAGCCGGTCAATGATGGTCTGTACAAAGCAAAGCGTGTACAGAGAGCTCTGTGCAAGTCCATCTTATGTTTCAGCTGTATAACATTACTTGTCTAAACTTATCTGAACAGCTGCTTCCCAGTGCTCTAAGAGATGACAGGGGATGCCTTACCTTAGGATGCCTGACCCCAGCTGTCCTCACACACCCTCTTGGAGGTTCCCACTTCCACCCCAGGACACTTCAGCTGCCCATACAACAGCTGCTGAATTGCTAAAGAAAAGCCACAGCCTGGCACTCTATGAAAAAAACAAAAATCAAGGCAGGTTCTAGTTTGCCTAAATGGGCTGCAGAGAATTTACTGCTGCTTTAGGAAACACCGAGCTGTTTTTGCACCATATGTGGGCTAGGATTGCCAGCTCCATCTGCCCTGGTTAAAGTTTTGCTTGCTGGGCAAACATAACATCGAACCAATGTTCCTGTCAAACTACTAGCAAGCATAAAAAGCTGCTGCCATTTAAACGAACTTACTCTCTAAAGCCCTAGCTAATAAAACACTCTTGAAAAATCCAAATGCTCCCCTACAACAAAGCATTACCAGGTAAAGTTAAAAATTTGTTGCACCCTACTGGACATCATAACAGGCATATTACACATGAAATAACAACCCAAAAATCCTCCAGTACTCTGGGAAAAGAATAAGACTTCAAAGCAGGCATCTCTCATTTTGTGACAAAAACTCAGACAATTCAAAAGTTCAGTTCAGAAGAGCAGGATTTACCTTTCGGTCAGTCGCTTCTTCACAATTTCCAAGTTCACAGGTGGTAGAGAAACAGAGGGATCAAACTTTGGTTTAGCTGGCTGAGATTTCTGCAGGGAAGCATCATCATAATCCTACAAGAATTAAGTGTTAGTTTTTAATACACCAGTTACACAAGCTTTCCCTCTGCAGCTCTACAGATCAGCAAGACATATCATGCAAATGCACAAGGCATATGATATAAAGGCAAACATTTCCATCACCAAATTAAGTACAGAAAATGTTGTACAGAAAAGTACAACACAAAAGCAAGGAAAACTGGAAGTTAAAACACCGCATATGTATGTTGTATAAAAACATGTAATGCATACACATATAAACACCACAAAGTAACCTGTAATTTAGGGTACACTTCAGTTGCTGTCTTGGTCTGAAAATATCAATAGCTTTCAATAACCTATAATGTTTCTGTACTGACAGCTGAGACTTCGCTAGTATCAAGATTCTAAATATAAAATCTAGAAATAAACTACAGCCAAGGGGTGATGATAACCATCTGATTTTACTTGTATCTTGCTTTTTAAAAACTGTTTGAATATATTTATGATAAATTATTTGCCATTTGTTAGTCATTTAAGATTCTATTTTCTCATAGTAAACTTTCTGATTCCTCCCCCTTCAGTAAATATGAATGCTACCTTCTGACAAAGCCAGTGGCCAAAAGACAGATTTCTCACTCTGACAACTCAGCTTAACCATGATTACAACTAAAAAAGAATTCCACTGAATTTTAGCTTATAAATTAAGACACTTTGCTTTCTAAAACAGTAGAAGTTTGTATATTAAAATCTAAACAAAACACAACCAGTTGAAGCAATTGTTGCAGTTTCCTGAAAAGCAGAAATGAACAGTTTTCCAGACAGGAGTAGGAGGAACTAAGAACACCCATCGTACTGGATCTGAAATTCAGCAGCAGAAAGACATAACTTTCTCCTAGTCCTCTAACTACTTCCATTTAACAGGCAAAGTTTTCTACAATTTTCTATTCTGACAAAAAAAAAAATGGTTATTCAGACTCCTAGTCTGACACAGAGCAGGTGATTCAAGCCAGAAACAAGACTTCCAGCTCATCAAGAGATACACACTTTATTTTCGCCAATTATTTACCAGAACAGAAAGAGAATTCTGCTGAACTGTGAGAAGAGCTCTCAGATTGCCACCCAACAGAATAATAAAATAATTTTTGCTTTGCAACTTTGTAATATTTATATTATTTGCATACTTTTGCTTTCAAGATCCTTTTCATGGCAGCAAAAAAAAAAAAAAATCAGGGTTCAGAATTTTATTCTCTGCTTTTCAGAGTCCTCCATCACATACAGGTTCCTGCCTTAGAAGCAGACAACAGTACCCTGCTTCTGAACAGTTAGATAGGTATTATAGATCTACATTATCATCTTCCCCTGAAGAATTAGGGTATAACTTCCTAAAAACTTCTCTAATGAGAGACAGGGCAGGAAGGAGATATGACCGTACTCCAGACAAGTTCTCTTGCTTATGAGCAAAAAGCAACTTCCAGTGGTTAGGAAAGCATGTGTCACCTGAGAGAGTTTAAGGGCTTTCTTTATTTGCTGTTCTTCCCACTTAATTTGTGCTTCATCTTCACTCGATTCATCACTCACAGACACTGGAAGTTAAAACAATCATTATTAGGTGTAATTAGATCTTTTACTTTTCCCTCCCATGTTCTCCTCCCTCTAAAGCAACAATGGTTCTCCCAACCAATACTGGGAAGTGATGCACATAAGAAACAGCAGGTGAAAAACCTGCAGATGGAGGACTTCCAAACTGAAAGACAAGGAAGGCTTGGAAATGGCTAGTGGGATTTGCAGAATTCACACCAATATTAATTTCCCCAACATACTGTTTCTCAGACAACTCCTACTGCAGTACGAGCAGCACACACATCTCATTTTTATATCTCAAAGCAAAGCTGTGTATAATACATGTAAATAAAAGTATAGACTGTAACACAGTAAGTGACATTATACACAGCAAATCCCTGACTGTTCCAAAATGCACACTCTACTATAGATACAAAAATCTCATTAGCATTAATTAGAATTGCAGAACTAGCTCCCAGTCACACATTCCTTCTAACCCTTATTCAAATAATAAAGTAAACCTGTGCTTCATAAACTATAAGCAGATAAAAGAGAATAAAAGCAATGGAAAAGCCAGATATGCTTTGCGTGCAATAGGGTTTTTGACTTCTGAAGGGCCGAGTTGTTGGTTTGGTGGTTGGTCGGTTTTTTGTTTTTTTTTTTTTTTTTTTTTTTTTTTTTTCTCTCCTTTTTCAAGAACAGTCATAAGGTCAACACAGGCAGAGCATCAGCCAACCGGACCAGAAGCAGGAGGCAGGATTTACAGCAACTTTATTCACATTAAATGCTGTGCATCCTACAAGGCAATTTTTTGCAGTCAACAGGGCCACAAATTGGTTTTTAAGATGTTTCTCAAAGCATTCTGCACCACCACATTAGTGAGACCTAAACCAGGTTAACATCCCCTCAAGTACCACCTGCACAGCCTCCTGCCAGGACCCCGGAGGAGCAAAGCCTTGCACCGCACTCACTCTTTACTGGACAAGTCCCACATTCTCCCAGACATCAGTAAAACAAAGCCACAACCACTGGGAGACATGGCACAAACTCACCCATGTGTTCAGCCATCCTCTGCCTAAGAGTTCTCATTTTAGGTGCAAAAGTGAGATTCTTCATATCAGACTCATCTTCACTCTCTAAGTCATTGCTTTCCCTTCTCCAGGAGACCTGATGACTGTTTGAAACATCCAGCGGAAGATAATCAGCCCGCGTCCTGGCTAAGTGACGCTTCCTCCGAGCGGCCTCAACACAAGCAGCACTGGGGATATTACCTGCATTGAAGAGAAAGAAAATCTAAGCAAAAGACTAAAACCAACACTCTGTATTGCTCCTAATGTCACCCAGTATCAATAATCACCACAGTTCAGGATCACTGTACAACTGTAAATACAGGACACAAGGTATTTTCCTATCAAGCTCAACAAGTTGCATATAAGGAGGTAGAAAAAGCACCCTTAAAAAGTGGCTCTCAGTCTAAAAACAAAGCTCAGACTTTTTTCATTTAAATAAATTGCTGTTAGCCTGTTCTTCTTTTTTCCATCTCCCCGAAAGATGACGGTTACTACACTTAGTGATTTTACAAAGGAATCCAAAGCTTACAAATCAGCACAAATGAGGTTGTATTTCAATCTCATGAAGGAAATCGTGCATCGTTGAACAGGAATTTTTTGCTGCTTTTCTTCCGAAAGCAATTGCCATAATTTCTGATCCATTTCCAAAATTAACACAGAAATACAACCAACATCTGCAACCAAAAATACTGGGAAACTGTCATTATTCTTTCAGAAGAAGGGTAGCCCTGACTCTGCACAAACAAGCCTACTACACCTTACGTGACTGAAGCTCAGTGGGATTCCTTTCGCCTATCTTGTCATGTACTTCAAACAAAGAATGTTCTAAAGTAAATTCCTTTAAAAAAAAAATCCAGGAGACTAACCTGGTGATAAATCCTTCCTCTTCTGTAGAGAACTGGATTCTTTTTCAGAGTCTGAGCTGTTGTAGTCCTCACTCAGTGAAGAATAATTTTCATCCTCCTTCTCCTCCTCTTCTTCATGAGTGCCTTTGGCGTTGCCAGTTCTAGGCTCCAACTGACAGATTTCTGTTTTAGGGGAAAAAAGCAAGATTCATGGTTTCAATGTCAGCAGCTGATGTGCCATAACTGGTTACCAGTAACTATTTACACCCTGCTGCAGCAAAGACCAGTCGCTTATCTGTCTCCACCTGTCGCCATCAAAACATGTCAAGTTTTCCCAACACTGTAAGACAGGAATTTACAAGCCAGTTGCTGTCTCTGAATCAAAGCATCTGTGATAGTCCTGAATGAGTACGTCCTTCTGAGACACAGAGCACACCTACATGCACAAAACCAATGATATGAGCTCCCAGACGACAATTGATTAATATCCTTACAGTTCACAGCACGTTTGGATTCATTTCCCTTGACTTTATAAACTGTATTTAGAAAGTGCTTTTTTTTTTTTAAGCATTAATAATGAGCGAGTCCTTATTTAAACTATAAAGGTTTATGTATGTTTGTCTTGTCTCTGGCTATCTTCAAATTCTTTAAAAACGTTGATTTCATCTGGCACTACATCTTCAGTAAATCGTCAGATTACTGAACAACAGAATGCACCACCTGTTATAAGAGTATGAGGTATATATTTACAAGAAGTTACTAAGAAAGTTTACCATCTCATCTCAATCACAACCTCAAAGGCAATTACTTCTCAATCTAATTTATTTTTATCTAACAGTAGCAATTAGGGTGTATCTGTGAATTGACAGAGGTGTCAAAAGGGGAATAGAGGGGAAGAAAACTTTTAGACACACTCGTTTGTAAAACACACAAACCCTGAATAACCCAACAGGAAACTTACTATACTTCAATGAAACTATGACTACTATCAGAATAATCAAGGCTACTGACTGTATTCAGTCAAAATATTCAACTGCTGTAATAGCATACAGTTTAACAACACAAAGTTTGAGGTTTACATCTAGTTTTATCAAACAAAATCCTAAGTTCACCTTTTTTCTCAATGCAAATACTCAGATCAAACTGCAATTTGATACCAATAAGCAGTGGATAGTGGCCAGACAGTTTGAAAGATATGACTCTGAGGTATTAACTTATCAGAAGTTTACTAACTCTAATGTTCTACAGGGGTTCTGCATCCCCAAGTCTTCTCAAGAACAGCCTCCAAGTTCTGACACTGTTTTACCAAAGTCATATGGAAAATAATTTCAGCACAAACAGATTAAAATTATAAACCTGTAAAGTAACATTATAGGTATAACCTGGATTCAATTAACAAGTAACAAAACATCTAACAGCCATATTGGTACATCACTCTTCACTTAACAATTTTGTAATACATTTTCATGTAGGTATTCCATAAAATATTTAAGTGAAAGAATTACTTACTTTTGCTTTCTTCAACTTCTGTCTGCGCAGGCAGTTGGCTCACCTTCTTTTGAATTCTAAAGGTCACTTCATTGAACGACGGTTTTTTAATTCTAAAAAATTCTTCGTCACCTATCCAAATAAAACAAAGTTATTCTGAGTAATATTAACAAAGACAGCAGCGTTATCTGCATATATATATATGTATTATATATAAAGTGCATGTAATCTCTATGTGTGTACAACATTTTTTTTAAGTTCTGGCTGCATTAAGTCTAACTAGTTCCACAGCTTTATCACCCAGGATCCATCACCTCTTAATTTAAAACTGTGCAGCTCAGCCTCCTCCATCCAGCAACACCGCACTGCTGAAACGTATTGTTTCTTCGCAGTCTGTGTCCACCACAAAGGGACTCCTGTAGGCTGCCCTGACCTGTCCTGTGTCATCAGCCACAAAAGCAACAGCCCAAAAGAGTCAATTAAACATTTAAGTTTCAGTTATTTAAGCTTAACTGTGATAGTCATGGGATCACATACTATCATCTTGTTTCCTCTGGTTTTCTCCAGCTCCAAGAAGCTTTCAAAAGCTTCCCAGCCAAAAGCACACTGCCATTTGTTCTCTTCAAAGTATTTTCACGTGCATTTCTCTTATATAAACCCTCACAACAGCCCTATCCACGACAAAGCACTCCTGGTTTTGGTCACAAAGAGGCATGAAGGTGACTTGCGGCTCCCCGGGTCACCAGCCCGGGGCTCAGGCAGGCAGGACCCACCCGGCCCCTCCCGTACGCGGGGTGCGGAGGCGCAGCCTGTTCATCCAAGCTCCCAGCTTAGCTGTTCCTCC